CTGCTGTTGTCACCGTTACCCCTGTCTTCCTGGTGCTGCCATCACTGCTGTTGTCACCGTTACCCCTGTCTTCCTGGTGCTGCCATCACTGCTGTCTGCTCCTGTTTCTGGTGCTGCACCCTTACTGGCTGTCCTGTCCTTGAGCACACTGTTTCTGTTGTGCGAAGTGGCTGAAATTAGTGGTTGTTTCTGAGCTCCGTGCCTGTATGTGGAGCTGAGCTTCCCCCAGGACTTCTTTCACCCCCAGGTCTCTGAGGGTTGGGGACATTTGTGGTCCCCATTCAGTCATGGGCACAGGCTCCGGGAGGTGCTGAGGCCACCCTTTAGAAGTGGAGAACCTGGGTTTGAAATCGTTCTGTTATTCCTCACATGGGGACGGGGGCAGAGGCTTGAGGGCAAGTGGAGCGATCTGGAGGGATTAGACTTGGACAGACTGCAGATGCTGGACATACAAGGTGGGGCAGGATTCTCAGGAGGGCCAGAGGGGCCAGTAAAGGCTCCGGAGGGGGGTGCTTGCTGAGCTCAGGGGGACTTGGTTGTCTTATCTGCCACGTGAGGTGATGAGGCTCTTAGGGTGCCGATTACTTGGAACACCTCCCCTCCTCCACCTTGCTCACCACTGCTGCCTCAACCAGGATCTCTTCAGCAAGTCGGACCCCTTCCTGGAGCTGTACCGGATCAATGACGATGAGACCGAGCAGCTGGTGTATAGGACGGAGGTGAGGGTCCCTGGGTGCTGTCCCCAAGGGGCAGATTCCAGCCCCTCCAGCTGCTCCGGGGTGCTTCACAGACAGAGAAGGAAGTGGCAGAAGGGGGTCACCTCCTCTGTCATCCTCCTACCCCCAGCTGTGAGGGTCCGCCCCCAACACCCGTGCGAGGCATCTGTCAAGTCTGTTTTGTTGTCCTCTCATTATTTTTAGGGCGCCCTTCGACTTCCTGCAGGTGAACTGGGCTTCGTTTTCAGGGATGTGCGATTCTGTCCTTTTTAGAGAAATTATTTTGAGTTTTAAAAGAGTCTATTTAAGTCTATTTAAAGAAGGGGGGTCTGGGTGGCTGGAGCGTACGGAAGCGAGGGAGACAGCTCCCAGTGGGACTAAGAGTTGAGAACAGCTTTGGACTGGCCTTGGCCCTCTTCTGTCTGCATCTGAGGCCCGGTTCTCGCCTAGCTCTTCTTGAGCCCCACAGGCCTCTTGTGCCTCACAGGTGGTGAAGAACAATCTCAGCCCTGTGTGGGAGACCTTCAAGGTGTCACTGAATTCGCTCTGCAGCTGCGAAGAGACCCGGACCCTGAAGGTGGGGGCTGGAGGGCTGTGAGGGGGGTAGGGGTCCATGATGGCGCCAGATGGGGGACAGGGTGGAGGCAGGGCTGAGTGTCTGTGGGGGACGGAGGGTTTATGATGGTCGCCAGAAAAGGGACTGAGTGGGAGGCAAGGGGTCTATGGTGGGGCTATGTTAGGGAACTAGGTGGGGGCAGGGCTGAGGGGCTGTGAGGGACTGGGGGGCTGTGATGGAGGATGGGGCTATGATGGTGGCCAGGTGGGGGGTCTGAGCTGTGAGGAGGAGATGGGATCCTTCAGGCCACATTTGGATTTGGGGTTAGGGAGAAGTAAGTGGTGAGATTAATTAGTGGAAGAGTGTCATCAGGCAATGTGGGATCTTGGCAACAGGAGGTTGGAGGGTTCCAGGCTCTGGGTGGGGGTCTGGAGGGGTCCCAAGTGGCAGTGGTTGAGGGCACTTGGGCTCCCCAGTGTCTCGTCTGGGACTACGACTCCCGAGGGAAGCATGACTTCATCGGGGAGTTCTCCACCACCTTCAGGGAGATGCAGATGGCCTTCGGGGAGGGCCAGGTGAGTGGTTCCCAAGTGAGCATTCTGGGGGGCTCCCTCCCCTTCTTTCTCCTTGCCTGACTGACCCTTGGTCCCTCCTGAATCCTTGTCCTGAGTGCTGGCCATATCTGAGGTGGTGTGTCTGGCAGGGAAGGGACAAGTGCACCTGAAGGGTCTGTGCAGCCTGGCACACTTTATTATTATTATTATCCTGACCCAGACTGATGCTGACATAAACAAGTGACACTCCTGCTGCCGTGGGCAGTGGGACTAGTTCTCACATGTTACAGCTGGAGATACCCGCCAAGGCCTGAAGCCCTGTCCCTTCTCACAGGCCCAGTGGGACTGTGTGAACGCCAAATACAAGCAGAAGAAGCGCAACTACAAGAACTCGGGGGTGGTCATTCTGTCCTTCCTAAAGGTGAGGCGGCATCTGGAGCAGGGCTGGGGAGGCGGGGCCTGGAAAGGGGGCATCTGGGACGGGGCTGGGGGAGGTGGCCCGAGGCCCCCATAACCCCTTCCCCATCTGGTTGTGGGGGGTCTCTGCTGTCTGTGTGTTAATGGGATGGCTTCTCATTGGCCTAAACTCAGAAACCTAGTGGTCCTCAATATGTGGAGGGAGGATAGTAAAGGGGACAAGGAGAGAGAGGACTAGAAGGGGAACAATGGAAAAGGGTGCACGAAACAAAGGGAAGGGGACAGAAGGACTGACTGAGCACGAGAGGAGGGAGGTTAGAGAGGGGGAGGATGGAGGATGGGAGGACGGAGTAGAGAAGGAGGAGACAAGAGGAGGGGAGGATGAAGAAGAGGAGGATGGGAGATGGGAGGAGGGAGATGGGGGAAGGGAGCACGACGGGGGGAACCAGGAGGAGGGGAGGATGGAGGATGGAAGGAAAGGAAGAGGGAGAGGGGAAGAGGAGAAAATAATAAGGGGAGGTTGAATGACAAGAGGATGGGAGAATGGGAGGATGGGAAATGAAATATGGGAGGAGGGGAGGATGGAAGAAAGAGAGGAGGGGAGGAGGGGAGGATGGAGGATGGGAGGACACTGACGCTGCTGCCTGGAAGTTCCACAGGGTCTACTCCTTCCTGGACTACATCATGGGCGGCTGCCAGATCCACTTCACTGTGAGTGTCCTGCCTCCACCCGCCTCCATGCTGCCCACAGGGCCACCTGCCCCCACCACCACACTGACCACACCTTCACACTTACACCTCTATCCCACCCCACCTGATGCTGACCACACCTCTATCCCACCCCACCTGATGCTGACCACACCTCTATCCCACCCCACCTCCACACTGACCACACCTTCATGCCTACACCTCCATACTGCCCCACCTCCATGCTGACCACACCTCTATCCCACCCCACCTCCACACTGACCACATCTTCATGCTGACCACACCTCTATCCCACCCCACCTCCACACTGACCACACCTCTATCCCACCCCACCTCCACACTGACCACACCTCCACGCTGACCACACCTCCATGCTGACCACACCTCTATCCCACCCCACCTTCACACTGACCTCACCTCCACGCTGACCACACCTCCATGCTGACCACACTTCTATCCCACCCCACCTTCACATTGACCTCACCTCCACACTGACCACACCTCTATACCGCCCCACCTCCACACTGACCCCATCCCCACCCCTTCCCACCTCCATGCTGACCACATTCTGGTGACCACACCTCTACACTGACCACACCTCTGTACCACCCCACCTACACTGACCACACCTACACAAGGACCATACCTCCACACTACCCCACCTCCATGCTGACTACACCTCCCCGCTGACCCCCTTACCTGTCAAATAGGGGAGATGTTCCCCACATCTGAGGGGGGGCAGCAGATCAGTCTCTGACAAGGGGCAAACGGGATACCCAGGTGAGGGTGTTCTCACAGCCTGGGCCTCCCAGGTGGCCATCGACTTCACGGCCTCCAACGGTGACCCCAGGAACAGCTGCTCCCTGCACTACATCAACCCCTACCAGCCCAATGAGTACTTGCGGGCCCTGGTGGCCGTGGGCGAGATCTGCCAGGACTACGACAGGTGTGCACCCTTGCCAGCCGTATCCTGCCTGTGCCTGCTTCTTCCGAGTCCCACCCTGCTCTGTGCCTCATTTCCCCCTTTTTTCCTGCCCAGAGCGGGGCTGACCGTGGGCTGCAGTGGTGATGGGATTCCTGGGGCCAGACATGGGGGAAACGTAGAGACCTGGTCCCTGGCTTCCTGCCAGGATCTCCCCAAAGCTGCTCTCTTCCCCCACCCCTGGGGTGACAGGGTCCCCAGTGTGACTGGGCCTTCCTCTCTTCTAGCGACAAGAGGTTTTCTGCTTTGGGGTTTGGAGCCCGAATTCCTCCCAAGTACGAGGTGGGAGAGCCTGAGATCACCTTTGCTTGGTCCCTGTGCCCTGCAGGAGGGGATGCTAGGGCCCTGGGATGTCCTGGCTGCTGCCACTCCAGCTGTGTGATGGGGAGGGGAGCAGTGTCTGCCCTTGAGAGCAGGTAGAGAGACCCCTCAGGGCTGGTCACTGGGGATGGAGAGACTCCTGGCTTCCTAAGAGGAGGGACACAGCATCAGTGGGGGGATGCCTTTGTTACAAGTAACTGCTGAGTTGGCTGATGCAGAAGCAATAGTGAGAGGAGGGGTTATTGGTTAATTCAACGGAGAGCTTCAGGGACAGCTGGATCTGGCACAACTTTGCTGTCTCTCTGTGCCTGAGGCCCTGGACCTGGGGCCTGGGGCTGGAGTTGAGGCTGGGGTGATTTCCCATAGGAAACTTAGGGGCAAGAAGGGCGGGTAAGGCTGAGGGCTTTCCCTGGGGTTCTGAAGAACAGAACCAAGAGGTTGAGGAATAGAGACATGTTTTCGGCCCTTAGCCTGCTGGACACTGGCCGTAGGGCACGGAGGCGATCCCACAGGCATGGAGGGTCTGGCCAGTGCTAAGTGGGCCGCAGCTGGAGGCTCTCTTGTCTCACAGGTGTCACATGACTTTGCCATTAACTTCAACCCTGACAATGACGAGTGTGAAGGTAGGCGCCCTTGGAGGGAGGAGCCTGGAGGGTGCAAGGGGGATGTGCTGACCTTCCCCCCCAACAGGTATCCAGGGTGTGGTCGAGTCCTACCAGAACTGCCTGCCCAAGGTCCAGCTCTACGGCCCCACCAACGTGGCCCCCATCATCAACAAGGTGGCGCGCACCGCCGCTGCCGAGGAGAGCACGGGAGAGGCCTCTGTAGGTTCCAGGGCCATGGGGTGGGGCAGGCGGACGGCTGGGGCAGACGTCACAGGCTGGGTTTCCGCTGGCCTTCCTCTGGGCTGGGAGGACCTAGGGGCGGAGGCCACAGCACTCTTGCACAGGAGATGTTAGGGAGCAGCCTCTTCCCTCCCTGCTTTCCCATTCTCTTTACTTTGTCCTCCCTAGCTTCCCGCATTCAACAAGGATTTGTTGTTTGTTGTTGTTATGTGCTGTCGAGTCGTTTGTGACTCATAGTGACCCTATGTACAACAGCCCTAAACCCTGCTCTATCCTGTGCCAATCGCACTGCCTCCGACACACCCATCCCGATTACCCCAGTCACTGAATCAATCCACCTCATAGAGGGTCTTCCCCTCCTGCGCCGTCTCTCCACCCTCCCAAGCATGATGTCCTTCTTCAAGGACCTGTCTCTCCTTACAACAAGTCCAAAGTATGTTAGACGAAGCCCCAGAATCCTTGCCTCCAAGGAGCAGCCTGGTTTAACCCTCTCTTGGATGAATCTGTTTGTTTTCTTGGCAGTCCACGGTACATTCAATACTCTTCTCCAGCACCACAGCTCAAAGGCGTCAATTCTCCTTCTGTCCTCCCTAATCATTTAAGTACCTGCATTTAAGCATTTAAGGAGTTGGGTGGCACAGTGCTTAAAGCACTCAGCTGCCAACTAAAAAGTCAGTGGTTTGAACCCTGCAGCCGCTTCTCAGAAGCAGGATGGGGCTCTGGATTAGTCCATAAGGGAACCCTGTGGAGTGACTTCTTGCCCTGTGGGGTCAGATCAAGTTGACAGTAGTGTTTGGAGGGAGGATAGTGTTTTTGAGGTCAGATGTTGGGCATGGTTCTGAAGGGTGGGCATAGTCATAAGTAAAACCATCTCCCTGCCCGTCAAGGCTGACCCTCTGAGAGGCCCACAGGGACCAACACAGGGATGTGCTGCATGATGGTATGTGAGAGGCAGCAGGCAGGTGGACATGGAGTCTCGGGAGCCCAGCAGTTGTCTGGGGTCTCCAAGCAGAAGTATCAGCAGGTGCAAAAACCTAGGCTTCTCTGGGTTCCACCGAAAGCCATCGTGTGTATGGGATGTTGGGAGGTAGTGAGGGGACCCATGGCATACTCCCCTGGGCCTCTGGCTGTACAGGTTTTCCCTTTGAGAGTCCACCTGCTAATGTGGATGGCCTATTACCTGGCCATAGTCCAGCTTTCAGGCCTAGGGCAGTGAGCACAGCGCTCTCCAAATGTCTATCCCTTTGTGCCTGCCTGGCATCCCCCTGCTCTGTCTGGGGTTTGCATCCCTGCAGCCTGGCTGTTCTCCAGATGGAGGCCTCCATCTTTCATGTCTCAGGAGCCTGAAAATTCAGCTCCCAGGGAACTGCCCACCCTCTTGCTCCTGGCACTGGACATGGAGCCTCAGAACTGGGTGGAGTCAGGTGGGACCAGAGACCGTTTGCTAGACCGGGGTGTGTGTGTGTGTGTGTGTGTGTGTGTGTGTGTCTGTGTGTGTGTGTCCTCCTCTGCACCCATGGAGATCTTGAGAGGGTGGGGCCTGGAGCCCCGGATGCAGGAGGGAGGCCTTCCTGCAGGGCTGTAGTCACCCAAGGGCAACTGCCCACTGTGCTTCTCTGCCCCAGCAATACTACATCCTGCTCATCCTGACGGACGGCGTGGTGACCGACATGGCAGACACACGGGAGGCCATTGTGCGAGCCTCCCACCTGCCCATGTCCATCATCATTGTGGGCGTCGGCAACGCCGATTTCACGGACATGCAGATCCTGGACGGGGACGATGGGGTGCTGCGGTCCCCTCGGGGCGAGCCCGCCCTCCGCGACATTGTGCAGTTTGTGCCCTTCCGCGAGCTCAAGAATGTGAGTGGTCTGTGCGGTCAAGTGCCAAGGCCAAGGTGGGGTGGGGAACCTCGGCAGCTCGCAGGCCAGCAGGATCCGGGTCTGGGTGCCTCTCACTTACGATTGGCGCCTGCAGCTGCTCTCAGACCCCCAAACGTGTCAGGAAGACGTGAGGTGAGGGGCGCCCAGTGAACGCCTGACGTCACCGGGAAGCACCCGCACAGGTGTCGGAGCTCACTTCCTGCCTCTCCACTGTCTTGTCTGTGCCCAAAGAGCTGGAACATACCTTCCCAGGGGGGTGGGTGGACTTTACCTGAGCCCAGGTGACACCAGGACATGCCTACTGGCTGTCAGCAACGGGTCAACACACATCTTCTATGCTCTTATTACTCGGCCTGAATGCTTCAGATTTGGAGAGGCCCCACCAGTTGACCCCTTGACGCAGCAGTGAAGACCACAGTGTGGAGGCCGGGGGGATGGGTGACTGCATGGAAGGAGGACCGGGAGAGGCCCAGCTTTGGTCACAGTGTCCCTCCCACAGGCATCCCCCTCAGCACTGGCCAAGTGTGTGCTGGCCGAGGTGCCCAAGCAGCTCGTGGAGTACTACAGCCACAAGGAGCTGCCCCCACGTGGCTTCAGCACCACGTCCCAGGAGGCTGGCCAGTGAGGAGAGTGTCCACAAGGCTTCTGCCTCGATATCCTTCACTCCCCACCCCGAGACCCCACAGAGGCCTCCTGTGCCCAGACCAGGCCTCATACTTTGTTCCCTGATCCTGTGGGTGGCCTCTTCCTGGTCTTAAATCCCTATGAGCCCCCAGCCGGTGGTGTCCCCTCTCTCTGCTCCGTCCTGAGTTCTTGTTCTGGGGACTCCGGGGAGGGGCTTCAGTAATAAAGTGTCATTGTCTTCTCCCAGCAGTCTACCTCTCCTTCCTCTTCCCTTCACCCTTTGACCTCCCACCTATATGTGCCCAGGACAAGTTTGAACCTTCAGGACAGGCTCTGTGAGACCTGGACCCCTTCTGTCCCATCTTCCACTTCTGTGCGGTTGGGGATCACCCTCCAGAGACCTGGCGGGACCTACTGAGTCTTTCAGAGGAGTTGACTTGAGTACCTGAGGGGGCTCCTGTGTCCTTGCCAGCTAGTGTGTCAGGAATGGTCACTTGGGCTTAACTAGGTCTGCAACATTGAGGAATCATTAAAAGTTGACAAGTGTCTTTGTAGAATTGGTGGTGGCCCCTGGGTCCCCCTAGAGCCTGCGTGTCTCCTCCAGAGACCCTGCCCCTGGGTTCCCCATCCTCCTACCCAGCACTGCCAGCCAGTGAGGGAACTGGGAACTGATGGAAGGGACTTCTGTTGGAGTGTGTTGTAGATGTTTTTCCTGAATTTTCTTGCCTGGGAAAAACAAATGCTTTTGACCCTGAATCTAGGTCTATTCACCTCTCCATCCATCCACGCACTCATCCACCCATCTGCCCATCACCCACGCACCCATCCATCCATCCATCCATCCATCCGTCTATTCATCCGTCTATTCATCCATCCACCCACCCATGTATCCATCTACCCATCCATCTCTTCACCCAGTCCACCCATCTATTCATTCGTTGATCCATCCATCCATCCATCCATCCATCCATCCATCCATCTATTCATCCACCCACCCATGCATCCATCCATTCATCTATCTACTCGGGCCTATTTTTAGCTCCTGATTCAGCTCTTGTTACATGGGGATAATAGGCATTGCTATGGTAACCTGACTATGGGTACCTTCTGGAAGGGCCGATGTTGACGAGCTTGATCTCTTTGGGAATGAAAGGGACAGCAGAAACCACTCCTCTGAGTACAGCTCGGGAGCAGCAAAGTGGAAGGGTGTCATTAGTCTTGAGGCAAGAGGGCAGATGTCCACCATGTCCTGATCCAGATGCCATGAAGCTTTGGACAGCACCAGCGTTGGGGCAGAGAGGCTGGTGTGCCTGAGTGCAGGGAGCAGCCAGGGTTCTGTCAGCTTCCTGCGGGACATCAGCTACGTGGATGGCTGGCTAGGGAGAAGGCAAAAGAATCTGTGGGCACCCTTGGTCGGCCTGCTACAGAGAAGGGGCAAGGGCCTTTGGACAACATGGGCGTCCAGCTGGAGAGGAGGGACAAGTGTCTGCAGACAGCAGAGAGTGGTCAGGCAGACAGGTCTGTGGACATTCTGGGAATGTTAAGCACATTCCCAGGGAACTCCTGCATCCCCAGACAAATAGATCAGCCCAAGTTCAACAAGGCGGGCCCATGGCCTCTTCCAGGAGCAGCTTACCAGGAAGGTGCCACTTGAGTACACCACCCAGAAGCAGATAGATAGGATTTGGGGTAAATGTCCTACCTCTCTCCTGCCCATCATCTCCTTCTGGGGCCTCCATTGATTGAGGTCACCAGGAAGCAGAGAGCGGTGTGGATGAGAGAGGGCCCAGCCAGATCAGACCTGGAGCCCAGGAGGGGGACACAGGACAGAGCACCTAGGGTCCTGAGAGCTGGTGTGGAGACTTAAGGGTTAGACCAGGTGGTCCCTCAGTTCTTCAGTGCCTCCCGGCTGCAAGTGGAGGCCAGTTCTTGTTCATCACAGCTCAGCCATGGCTCTTCTAAGGGAGCAGATCCAGAGAGGAAAATCCCTCAGCTGAGGGCCTGCCTGGACTCTCACTTCTCAGAAGGTAAGTTTGGGATTGGGAAAGGGCCAGGGGCTCTTGAGTGGTCATCAGCTTCGGGGAGGCTGAGCGCCTGGTGCCTACTTTTAATGGCTATATGACCTTAGTTGTTCTCAGTCTGCCACTTTTCCCACTGGGTGGCTGTGTCCTGGTGCCTCCCCTGGGTCTGGGCTCGGGTGCTGTACCATGTGACCACAGGGCATTCCTGCCTGGCTCCCTGAGACCCTTGCTCTTGGGACACAGGCACCCTTCTCTGAGGAAGAACCCAGTTTGGAGAGGCCTCCAGCTCTCAGCCAGTCCGTGCTCCCCCAGCTCGGTTCCCATATCAGCCTAACGAGAGACCTCACCCAGAGCCAAGTCCCCTACAGACGCACCAGTTAACTCAGCGAACACACTTTCCTGGAGTCTTGTAGGGAGTGGAGGAGCGATACGCGAGCACAGGGCATCCATGGCATCATGAGAATAAGGACGCCTGGCTCCTCGTGCCCTTCTGAGGACCACGACACCATCCTTAAGTGCCATCTTTTTCTCTTAAATGTGCCCCCTGCCCTGTGGCCCCACCCTCTGGCCATTGTCCGCTGAGTGTGTGGGGCTCTGGCTGGAGCAGACAGGAACGAGGCAGGCTGGCTTCGAGGCGGTTCTTTGTGCTGCTGCTGAGAGGAAGCACAGGCAGGAAATTGTGACTAAGTGCATGTAATTGGTGCGGGGGTGGCAACGGGCTGTCAGACAGGAGCATGGGGGGACTCAGGAGAAAGCATCACCCACATTGCTCCTCCACCTTCCCCTTCCCTCCCAAACACACATGCACACAGGGGGCCATGCCAACATGGCATGTGTCACCTCCCACACAGCCGCATCAAGTTCATGTGGACTGTGCTGCAGCCCTAGCAGCCTCCACGCACAGCACAAACACTCCTGCACCACATCTTCACACGGCCCCACGTGGCCTCACAGTGCTGGGAGCCGCATTTCTCAGGAGGGGGCCGTACTGTACAAATGAAGCCACTTGACTCAGGACACACAGCTGAGGGGACAGAAGGGACGTGATCTGGACTTGGCACTGAGCCTTCCTGGCACACACAGTCTGAGCCTGCAGGTCGTGGCTGTACATGTGTGTGCGTGGCAGTGTGTGTCAGTGTGCATGTGTGGATGAATATGTGTATGCTCGTGTGTGTGTGTTGGTTGTACATGTGTCAGGTGGGTGTGGTGAGATGTGTCAACATTCATGTGCACGCTGTACACATGTGGTTTCTGCATGTGTGTGGTGGTGGGCATGTCAGTGTGTACATGGGTGTGTTTGTAGTGGTGCTTATTTCAACATGTGTGTACAGGTGTGTGGTGTGTATATATCAATGTGTCCATGTGTATGAGTGTGTGTGCATGGCATGGTAGTGTGCATGCAATGTGTGTATCTTCTAGATGTGTGTGGAGGGTAGGATGTGTGTCGGTATGTACATGTGTGGATACATGTGCTCAGTGATGTATGAATGTAAGTGTGTATATCATCTCAACACATATGTAGATGTGTGTGTGCACGCACATGCTGGTGAGCATGCCAAGGTGTATATTTTGTAGATGTGGGATAATGTATTAAGGTGTATAGCTGTGCATCACTGTGTATTTGCATACAGGTGGTGGGGGGTGTGCTCACACACCTGACCAATACATCAAGATGTATATTTTGTAGGTGTATATTAATGTGTGAATCTGTGCATGTGTGTGTGTGTACAGGTATGAGTGTGTGTGAGCACGTATGGTGGTGAGCAGGCGAGGGTATATGTTTTGTATATGTGTGTGATGTGTATGGTAGTGCATGTGGTGTGTGTATGTGTGTGCCTGGTGGCATGTGTTGCAGAGTGTACACATAAGTGTATGCACATGGTGATGTGAGTCACTATGTCTGAGTACATGTATGCACATATGTGTGAGCATGTGTATGTGTCACAGAGATCTGGTGTCCCTCAGCAGTCCACTGAAGGCCTCTGAAGATTCCTAGACACGCACAGGCTGGGCCACAGTTGCTGCCCCTTGTGTGGCCCTCGGTGGCTGGGCTCTGGCCTGTGGATGAAGCCAGGACTCAGGCTGGACCTTTAGGGCCTGCCTTGGGTGACCGTGATGCACCGGAAGACAATGTGTCTCAGTCATAAATGGAACCTATTCACAGACTTGCATGCAGTGAGTCCACACTGAGCTAGGGTTTGGCTGGCCGCTGTGGGCTGGGGGTCTTTGCCAGAGACCCTTTTTTTTTTACTGTTTTTTTTTATTATTATTGGGTTTTTTTGTGTGTGTGTACCATCAAACTGGATCAGACTGTTACAGGAGGAGATTGTCCCTCCTTCTCCAGCAGAGTATCTGGTTGATTCGAACCTCACACCTCTGGGATTGCAGTGCAGCTTCTTGCCACTAGGCCACCAGAGCTCGCCGCCAGAGACCTTTTTGTTCCATCACTCAGGACACAGGGGGCCTGGCTCTGTCCACAGAATGTCCTTGCTTAGAGTCTGCAGGCTGAACCACTAGTGCTGAATGTGAGCACCTGTCCACCTGTGACCTGTCCTGTGTCCTGTGTCATAATAGTTACTGTCCACAGAGCCTGTTCAGGACCCAGCGGGCCCGTGGAACAGGGAAAGCTCAAGAAGTGACCACAGGGTGGCAGAGGCTGTGTGTGTGAGAGGACTGAAGGGGAACAGGAGGCCTCAGGAAGGAAGCAGGCAGGGAAGGGGAGACCTGGAGCAGCCCGGGGTATAGGATGAGGGTCTGTGGAGCAGGGAACCTGTAGGTGGGGGTAAGGGAGGCCCGAGTAGAGATACCGTGGGGTACATTGGAGAACCTCTAGGCGAAGTGCCCAGGAGACACCCTCCCTCTGCCCTGGAGAGGCCCCTAGATTAAGAATTCAATTGATTTGCTCCCAGTTCCTCTTTTTTTTTCCCCCAGCCACAGGTTCCTCAAAACAACCCTCTTTGAGTACCCAGCCAGGTGGCAG